TCACTCACTCACTCACTCACTCACTCACTCACACACACACACAGTTCTGGGAGTGTTTGCTAACAATGACTAACCTTTACTGACCAACACACTGTAAAAAGTGGGAACAAACTATTTATATCTGATTTGACCCATAAAGCACCTCTCTGTGTAATATATCTCTGTTGTTTTCTCAAGTAGACATAAACATAACTCCTCATAGCCATATTCGCAGACCTCTGAAGGTGTTCACGCTCAGGGCTGGGCTGGATGTGTGGGTTTTAGGCTTTATGTGAGGTCTTGTAAGCCACAGTCATTTGCACTGTGTAAATTGTCAGCCGCCTGCTAACAGCACATTAGCACAACAATAACCCGAACAAAACAAAGCAGTTATCACACAACACCACAGGACAGAAAACCACACAAACCAGCCGCATTCCAGCAGTTAATTAGAGCTATAAAACAGCTATAACACTTACTCAACTATGTGTTATTACACTAGTCAACTTGAGGTAGGAAATGAATTCTAACACATAATAGGCGTAATAGAGTTGATTGTTTACGTGTGTGACCATGTCTTAATAATTTCTCCGTTTGTGTTTCATAGATGAAAGAAAGTTTAAAATCTGGTTTGTAATAACTTGAGGGTGAGTAAATGATCATCAAAATTTCATGTTTGTCTTTGTGAAAAAAAGTTTTACCTTGGCTACGAAACACTTTGCAATGGCAACTGGGTTGGCATTACACTTCTCCAGGTCATGAAGCAGATCACTAAAACACACACACACACAGAATTATTATATATCATTACTCACATCCATTAAAGGGCTGAGCCGTTCTGAAACTATTCAACTTGTCTTCCAGTTATGTGCTGTATTGTAGGCTGTGTACTGTAAGAAAAGACCCACTTCCATGAATTGAACAGCATTGTGAATGCATGTGTGGTCACTTCAGCATTGCAGTCATCTGAATGTGTGTGTGTGTGTGTGTGTGTGTGTGTGTGTGGGCTGAATTTGGTGTGAGTCTGGCAAAATGTACGGGTGTGTGTGTGTGTGTGTGTGTGTGTGTTGTGCATGTGTGAGATGAACTTCCCAGTAAAATTTGGGTAAATCATTTACTTGGGAGAAATCCTAAAGCTACAATCAGGTCGATCGTGATCCTGATCTAGACTGATAGCAATGAATGGATTCCTCTTAAGGCTACATCATACAACATTTGCTTGGGTGAATATGAAAATTGATTGGAACAAAGCCCAGTCAGAGTTTAAAGGTAGGGTAGGCGATTTCAGAAAGGCTAGCAATAGCAAGCTAGCTTTGAAAGCAAGATCCCACCTTCCTTCCCTGCATAATCACTCTGCAAAGCCACACCTACTCCAAAACATATGAATGCAAACAGGCAGACCAGAGGCTAATCAGCGACGCAATGACAGATGGCGTTGGTGGAGGATTGAATGCCACGCTGTCAGATTACATCATGTCTCATTCACCGGTGAGAAAACATTACAGTACAAAGCGCATAATATTAAAATAATAAAAATACAAATACATACTGTACGTTGACAGGCAGGTAGGACAGCCTATCGTAATGTTCGGATCTGATTTATTGAACATTTTATAGTCCTACACATTCCACAGGCGATATAAATACAAAAATACATTTAGATCACTTAACTTATTGATTGCTATCGAGATGTGAAGAGACTTTTAACCAGCATAATAAAACTTGTTTTTGAACCAAATCACCTACCCTGCCTTTAACAGTCTTGTGAAGGCAAAGCTGAATTTCAGCAGCCATTACTCCAGTCGTCAGTGTCACATGATCCTTTAGAAATCATTTTAATATGCCGATTTGCTGCTCATGAAACAATCTTGTTATTATCAGTGTTGAAAACAGTTGTGCTGCTTAATATTTTGTGGAAACTGTAATGCATTTTTTTTCAGGATTCTTTCATGAATAGCTGTATTTATTTGAAAAATTATTTTTTGTAACTATTATAAATGTCTTTACTGTCAATTTAATGAATCTGTGCTAACGTGTGTGTGTGCGTGTGTGTGTGTGTGTGGATGTGTGTGTGTGTGTGTGTGTGTTTGTGTGTGTGTGTGGTCCGAAGTGAGAGGAACTGAGGAAAGAGAGATGGCAAATACAGCAGACAGTCTAAAACAGAAGATCTTCCCTCATCAGGTTTTTAAGGACACTTTGGCTGTCAATTTGTTGCCATTCTCTCTGTCATTTTTTTTCTGCAAATGGTCAGTGAAGGTGTTTCAAAAATATTCAATAGTCTATCTCAGAAGGTCAAACTAAATGTTTTATAAATGAAATTTTAATTAAAATAAAATAAAAAAAGAGAGA